GAATAAGTGAAGTTACACAGTGATGCTCATGAGCTTGTAGAACAGAGTCAGTCATTACAGGCCAGATCCATGTCACCAGAAATAACCAGAAATAGAAAATTCAGATCTTCAGCCCTTAGCGTCGAAAACAAAATCCATGAGACTAAAAGCCTCTTAAGCTAGTTCTTCATCACAAAGGCTAAGAGAAGTCTAAAATAGTCAACCCAGTCTATAGATTTCTGCCCAGAGGCAAAATTATGGCTGTTTTAAAGCTGTTTGAGGGAAAAATAAAAGTTTAATTCGAGAGAAAACTCACATCTGACCACATTTAAAACATTAAAACATCCACTGCTTTGTGTAGCTTTTTTCAAACGTGTTTTTACTAGGTCTTTTATACTTGTTGAAATTTAGTTGTTAAAAGCTGAGTGCTTATCGTTTGGAAACCCTCACAGTTTGCAATAGAAGGGACTCTCCAGGGATGTGCCTGATTAAAATATCAATTTTCTTGCATGCTGGCATCAGAGTTCCTCAGTCATAGACAAAAAAATACGGAGCAAGCCTACTGAACTCCTTTAAAATCTGTAGCTATGGTCAGAAAAGTATGCAGATTCAATCTTCAGAAGCTAATTTTTTTCCTGTTGCATCTGTGTCCGTTTTTCTGGTCGACTGGGCTGAATATCTAAGCAAAATTGTAAGAAGATGCAGGAAGGAGACATGAGTGTTCAAGATTTTCAGTCATTTATCATCATTTCCAACAAAAAGACAAAAATAAACTTAACATAAACCAGCTCTTTCCGGATCTCTGACCTTTTTAAATATCTCATAAAGGCCCAGTCTTCATTTCAGCTGCTCAGCTGAAGAACCGACAAATGTCACCTGATTAAGCGCCAAAATTTGCTCCAATAAATCTACTTTTCCCCTCGATTTTCACATCATTTCTCCACACTCCAAACGGCACTTCAGCCATTTCCTCCAGCATGACGGCGCTTGTTCAAAAACAAGCTGAGAGGAAATTTGTGAAGAAAGCTACAAAAAGGATGAGTGTAAAACATCCGAAACTCTTGCACCGGCCACTTATTGCTCATTACTGTGGCTGCTTTTCACCCTCTGCAACACCCAATATCTACAACCTAGCTCTGAAGGAATCAGAGCTAAGGCTTTTACCAGCAAAAGACTGAACCAACACAAGCGCATGCAAGCGCGCACACGCACGGACGGACCTTTGAACGCCCCATGACAAGCCCCCGGCCGTCAGCCAATG